TCCGCGCGGCTGCACCTGGCGCTGCCCCGCGCCGCGGCCTCTGAGGGGCTCGTCGCTCAAGACGCTAGCAATGTCGAGCGATTCGCGCGCAGCCCCGCCGCCGGCAGCAGGGTCAGTCGAGGAGGCGCGCGGGGCGTGGTCGCCCTCTCCTGCTTGTCTGGCCCGCCCGGTTTCTTTTCCAACGCTTGCTCTGTCCCAAGGTCGTCCGCGTCGGCGTCGGCGTCGTTGGCGTCGGCGTCGTCGACGTCGGCGTCGGCGTAGGCGTCGACATCGGCGTCGGCGTCGTCGTCAGCGTCGGCGTTGTCGGTCATGTGCCGCGTGTCAGACCCCGCCAGGCCATCGACGTTGCCGAGCACCAGGTTCCATCCCGCGGGCGGCGAGGGGGCTGGGGGATCACGGGTTCTCGGGCCAGGCCCGGTGTCCAGCCGCTTTCAGACAGACGCACCCACGTCGCACGCTGGCCACCGTGCCGTCGCTCCTTGGCGCTGGGATTCGTACTGTTGCAGGGGGCGGCGGCGTCTCGATCCGGCTCGAGGGGCGCGGGAAGATGGGGTCGAGGGCCCCGGCCGTGCTGCTTCCTGGGGCGCGGCTCTCGACCGTTACGTCTGGATGGCCGCGGTTTCCGTCGTCTCGTGTCTGCGACGGAAGATCCGCCGCTTCCCCGGGGCGGTCTGTCCCCAGGTTGTCGGAATCGGTGTCGGCGTCGTGAGCGTCGTGGTTGTCATCGTCGTCGGCGTCGGCGTCTGTCCCCAGATCGTCGGCGTCGGTGTCGGCGTCGGCGTCGTCGTCGTCGGCGGCGAAAGAGCAAGCCATCCTCGTGCCAGGGCGCGCGTTGCCAGCTGACGGCGCAGAGGGGCATTGCGCGGTCCAGGAAAGCGGCTGCGCAGCGCCGCTCTCCCCCACCTCCTCCGCAGAGGGGGCCGTCGTCTCCAGATGGGCGTCTAATCGCCGCAGGTGTCCTGTGTGAACTTTCCCCAGACAGGCAACTGATCGTCGCGAGTGCACTGTTCTCGTCTCCGCTGCCCCGCGCCGCATCGGAGTTGCGTCTTCCCCAGGCTTGGAAAAAGGGTCGAGGGGAAAGGTGGGAGTGATGCCGACATCAGTTGCTTCCCCAGGTGCGCCGAGGGCGAGGAGAAGTGCGCCGTCTCTCCCTTCTACCCTTGGTGTGCGACCGATCACCGCACATGCGTTGTTCATGGCGCGAAGCGTTCATCGGTTCACCCCAAGGTAGGCAGCTGACCGCCGCAAAAGCACATGAAAGAGGGGCGTCAACGGTCTCCCCGAGGTTGGTGGCTGATCGCCGCAAGTACATCGAAATAGAGTAAAAAAGGGTCTTCCCCAGGGTGGCGGCTGATCGCCGCAAGTAAATCGATCTCATCTTCTACCCCGTGCGTGTGACTGATCGCCGCAAGAAAATGCAGCGCTCCTCGATTCTTCCCTGGGCGAGCGGCTGATCGCCGCAAGCACACATGGAAGAGGGGCCTCGCGACTCTCCGGGAAGGGTGGCGGGTGGTTCCGCCGCGACGCAGATCTGCTCGGACGGGGGCGGGCCGATCCAGCATCAGTCCGCCGTCCCCTGAGGTCGGGGACAAAGCAATTATCTCCCCGAGTCCGTGTCTGTGACAGCGGGGCCGCCGCTCCCCCAGAGTAGCCCTGGAGCGCAACGCCGGCCGCGGCGGTTCCCTGGGTAGCTTTGTCGCGCGGCGTGTCCCGAGCCTCGGCTCGGCCCCCGGGAGTCGCGATCCTGTGTGACGGGTTGCGGGGGCCATGGTCGGTCGGGGACGTGCAGTCGCGGTCACTGTTGCGGCGCGTTTCTGTGCCGTCGTGCGTTCCCCAGACCTGAGCATCTGAGCAGGATCGAGCGGGGCGGTGGGGGTGATATCAGGTGCTTCCCCAAGGGCGCGACAAGGCAGAGCTGGCGCACCATTCGTACCGTCGTCTTCCCCAAGTGCGCGACTGATCGTCGCAAGTACAACTACTTGGTGCGACGCGTCCCCAGGCCCCCCCCCCCTTATAGTCTTGCGACTGACGGCTACGATGGCGGAGGAGCAGGGAGACTCGCGGCTGGCTGCGCTGCCAGTCATCGCAACTGTATCGAGCAAGCGGTCTACCCCAGGGTGGCGGCTAATCGCCACAAGCGCATCGAAAATAAGCGGAAGAAAGGGGGTGAGGTGATGTCATCGGATCGATCCAGCTTTGGGGTGCGCAGGAAGACGGGGTCAAGGGCTCCGGTCGTAATGCTTCCTGGTGCGCAGCTCTCGATCGTTCCGCGTGATGTTTCCCGATGCGTGCTGTCGCCTGGTGGGGCAGGAGGCCAAGAAGGGCCCAGGTCCTGGGGCAGCTCGTTGGAAACGCCGTGCGCCACGACCTGCGCCCAGCCCGCCGCGGGGGCCTGGCCGCCCTGGGCCGGCCCGCAGGCCCCAGAGGAGGCGGCGGCGGCCGCCGCCGCGGCAGCAGCGGCGGCCGCAGCGGCGGCAGCGGCGGCCGCCGCGGTAGCGTCGGCCGCGGCGGGCCCCTGCGCGGCCGCACGAGCCGCGGCCGCGGCAGCTCGGGTCGAGTTGCTGGCGGCGGCGGCGGCGGCCGCGTCGGCGGCAGCCGCGGCGGCCACCGCGGCGGCGGCGCCAGCGGCAGTGGCGGCGGCGGCGCCGGCAGAAGCCGCTGCAGGCCGCGCGTCGGCGGCGGCCACCGCGGCCGCGGCGTCACCAGCCGCCGCGGCGGGGGCAGCCGAAGTGGCGGCTGCAGCCGCCAGAAAGGGGGCAGCAGTCGCGGCCACTGCGCCGCGCCGGCGGCGCCAGCTGCCGAGCCGGCAGCAGCCGCGGCCGCGGCGTCGGCCGCCGCGCGAGCGGCCGCAGCAGCGACCGCAGCGCCAGCGGCCGCGGCAGCGGCGCGCGCAGCGGCCGCGCGGGCCACGGCGGCCGCGGCGCCACACAAGCAGCCGGCCGCGGCGGCAGCCACGTCAGAAGCGGCCGAGGCGGCAGCGGCGCCCACGGCGGGGCCGGCGCCCGCCGCGCGGCGCTGGCAGCCGCGGCGGGGACGGCGGCCGGCCACGCGGAGCCAGGGGCCGCGGCCGCGCGGCGTGGCCGGCGGCCGGGGGCAGCTGCGGCAGGCACGGCGGCGACACCGCGGCGCCGGCCAGAACCGCGCCGGGGGCGCGACCGGCGGCCGCGCGACGCAGCCGCCGACGCCGCGCCGTGGGGGCCTCGGCGCCGTCGCCTCGCCGGCTGCGCGAGCGGCGGCAGCCCGGCGCCGCCTCCGCCGCAGCGGACTCCATCGCCCGGGGGCAGCGGCCGAGAGGGGAGGGAGGCGAGACCCCCCCGTCCAAGCCGCTGCCGGAAGCCCGCGGGCGCGCCCGCCAGGCCGCGGGACCCAGGCCACGTAAGCCGCCTCGGGCCGAGACGGCTTGAGTTAAAGAGGCTACGAACCTGGTGGGGATAGATTTTTTTTGGTCGCGGGCGGACGCGGATTGCAGTCGCTGGACAGAGAGGTCTGGGGCACGGGCCTGTCGAATTAGCACCGCGCAAGCCTAGAAACGCAGCGGCCGAGCACGTGGGGATAGATACTTTTTTGGTCGGCGGCCGCGCGACAACGGTCTGGCGGCGAGAGGCAAAGTCCGGGGCGTGCGGCACGATGCGAATTTGCGAACACCGCCGCCACGTTGGTGGGGATAGATACGCGAAGCGTCTAGAATCCAAGGGCCAACGCGAGCCACGACAAGACCCGTCCGGCCGCGCGCCAAGCTACACCGACCCACCGGGTCACATGGAAAAACCTGGTCGCGGGCCGAGCCTCCTCCTTCCCCTGCCTCGCTGACGCCACGACTTTTTGCCGGACGTGCATGGGCCCGCGGGCCCTCGACCCCTCTTTCGGGCCCCATGGGCTCTGCTCGGCGTGCGAGGTGCTTCCTGACCGCCTCAGGACCCGAAGAGTGGGCCTCCCCGAGGCCCAGACGACCGAGGAAGAACCGCCTGTCGTGCTCCCCTGGTGCTGCTGAGATCTGTGGGCCCTCCTCAGAGGTTGGCCCCAAGACCTCTCCCGACTGGCGCTCTGGCCAGGGTTCGAGCTCGGCCGTGGACACGAGGTCCCCGCCGAGGCCGAAAGACAGGAGACGCTGCCAACATCCTCCCCCTCCTCCTCGGCGGATTCTTGTGGCGCCGGATCTGAGGGCTGCCGACACAGACATGCGACGTCCTGTTTTTTTTCAGGACGGCGTCCCTGGAAGAACCCGACCCTTTCCCCGGGACCGGTTTTTCGTCTGGAGTCGTCTGTTGACGGTCCCGAGGCCCAGCGAGGCCATAGCCAAAAACTTCCCGTCCTGATTTTTCGACGACGCGATCATGTCTGGTGGGGAGGTTTCCCGGAAGGAGGGGGGGGGACCAAGGGGGCTCCAGAAGGGATGCACGAGGCCCGAGGAGGCCAGATTCCCCGAGTGCCTGCAGGGCCCGAGAAGGCCCATGAGGTCTGGACCGCTTCCCAGGGCCAGGCCTTTCCTCCCGACTCGTTTCTGACGGCCCCAGGGCCCCGTCTAGGCCTCGGGGCACCGAGGGGTGCCCAAACCCTTCGGCGGTGCTGTTGTTCACGGCGTGGGGATCCCGGGGGACCTGCCTCGAGCCTCGACCCTCGATCGGCGCAGGGGTCCAGGCCCAGACCCCCGACGCCAGGATTTTTTTTGTTCACTGCGTCGACCCCTGGAGGCCTCGACCCGTCCCCCATGGACCGCTTCTTCTTCCTCCCGAGCCGCTGCTCGACGGCCCCGAGGGCCCGGCAGGGCCCCCAGAGGCCGAACATGACCAGAAAACCTCCCGCCTGGGGTTTTTGTTCACTGCCCGAGGGGGCTCTGGGAGGCGAGGCCCGCCGGCCTCGGCGGCGACGGCGAATAGCCCAGGGGCGGGCATTACACGCAGTTGCCCGGGCGCCTTATCAAAGACATAGATCATCGGCGCCCCTGGATACATGTCTTGCTCTCCCCTGGGCTATTCGCCCTTTTCGTCGCCTCTGACGGCCTTCTTCTCCCACCAGCCGTACCACGCTTTCTCGACCGCCACCGGGTCGTAGCCGGCGGCCATGGGCAGGCTCATGTCCTCGCGGAGGCGGGGCACGCCGCAGCCCGCATGTTAAACAGGGCGCCACGGAGCGCAGGGGTGACAGGTCGAGGCTCGAGGCTCGAGCAGGGGGAGGGACCAAGGGATATATAGAGAGAGAGGACCGGGGATGAGTTCGGAGAAAGGGAGGAGGAGGAGGATGAGGATGATGAGGAGGAGGAGGAGGAGGAGGAGCCGCAGCAGCAGCAGCAGCAGCAGCAGGAGGAGAGGGAGGAGGAAAGGCAGGAGGACCAGGACTCCCCATCCTTCGGCGGCACTTCGCGAGCCGGGTCGATCCCCGAGGGCCCCAAGGCCGAATCCGGGCGAAAACGCCAGGAGCGAGAGGCCGCACCGCCTGCAGGAGCCCAGGGGGGAAGGAGGGCCGCTGCTCCCGTGTGCGACCGGGCCTCTGTCGGGGCCCTGCCCGGGCTCTCGACCGGAGGCCTCGGTGCCCCGGAGACCCTGAGCTGGGCAGCGGCGACGCGGCAGGCGGCCACCGCGGCCATGTCGCCGACGGACGACGCCGACGACGACGGCGCGAGGGAGACTGCCGAGGAACAGCGCGGTCGCAGACCTGCCCGCGCCGAGAAACAAGCACGACGGATGGTCATAGTTGACAGTTTTGGGCTCATGGGGGCCCTCGCAAGGACCCGGGGCTGTCCCCAAAAAGTCTCCGGATGACGCGCCGACCCTGGGAAAACAATGTCTATAGAAACCTCCCAGGGACCCCGCAGCGAACAACGTCTAACATCAATAATCAGCCAGTGTCGACGCCAAGTAGATTAGACGACTCAGACCAGAGGAATCGAACATGCTTGGAATCCGCAACTCAGCAAACAAGCAAGCAAGCAAGCAAGCGTGCAAGCGTGCAAGTAAGCAAGCGTGCAAGCAAACGCGCAAGCAAGCAAGCGTGCAAGCGTGCAAGCAAGCAAGCGCGCAAGCAAGCAAGCAATCATACGTAGGGGGGGGGCCCTTGGAAAACAAGGGGGGATAGGCTTAGGCATAGAAATAGCCATCGAAATTACGGGGGGGGCATAAGAATTAGGGGGGGCAACGGACCAAGTCGTAGGGTTTTGAGCTAGGACTCCTATAGGGCAAGCCTACTTGGATAGTGTCTGCGGAGTCGCCCCTGCCCCTGCGACTGGCGACGACTAGCGCCGTCGCCGCACCGACCGCCGCCGCCTCTCCAAAGGCCCAGGCCCTCAACCTCCCGGAGCGAAGCCCGAAGCTGCTCGTCACTATCGGCGCCTGAAGTCGTTTTCGGGCCCCGACGCGTTCAGGGCTGTCTCTGCGACGAAAACCGCCCCAGGCGAAGGGGGTCGAGACGATATACATATATATGTATATATACACATACATACACACATAGATAAATAGATAGATCGATATATATATATATATATATATATATATATCGGAGGTGAGGGGGTGAGATCGAAGTGGAACGGAGAGCCCCCCTACCGGGAAATCGATTTCGGATTCGTGTTCGTGCGTGCCGTGCGGGCGGGCGAGGCGAAGCTGCGTGGGCGGGCGAGAAAAAGTCTCCTGTGGCTGAGGCGCGGCCGGACCAAATGACTCCCTTCCGGGCGGCCGGTGGCCCGCGGTGTCCCGCCGGTGTCCCGCGAAAGTCCCGTGTGGCTGAGGCGCGGCCGGACCAAATGATTCCCTTCCGGGCGGCTGGTGGCCCGCGGTGTCCCGCCGGTGTCCCGCGGTGTCCCGCGGTGTCCCGCGGTGCCCCGCGGTGTCCCGCCGGTGTCCCGCGGTGTCCCGCGATGATGATGATGATGATGATGATGATGATGATGATGATGATGAGATGATGATGATGATGATGATGATGATGATGATGCTGATGCTGATGATGATGATGGTGATGCTAATGATGATGATGCTGCTGATGATGATGATGACGATGATGATGATGATCTGAGGATGATGGTGTCCCAATGATGATGATGCTGCTGCTGATGATGATGATGACGATCATGATGATGCTGATGGTGTCCCGATGATGAGGATGATGATGATCATGATGATTCTGTTGATGATCATGATGATGACGATGGTGTCCCGATGATGATGCTTATGATGATGTTGATGTTGATGATGCTGATTATGATTGTGTCCCGATGATGATGATGTTGATGATGATGAGGTTGATGATGATTATGGCGTCCCGATGATGATGATTATTATGATGGTGATGATGATGATGATGATGTTGATGATGATGGCGTCCCGATGGTGATGATGATGATTGTGATGATGATAATGATGATGATGATGATGATGATGTTGATGCTGATGATGATGATGGTGCCCAGATGATGACGATGATGATGATGCTGATGATGATGCTGATGATGATGATGTCGATGATGAGGATGGGATGATGATGATGGTGTCCCGATGATGATGATGATGCTGATGATGATGATGATGATGATGATGATAACGATGGTGATCATGATGGTGTCCCGATGATGATGCTGCTGCTGATGATGATCATGACGATGACTGTGTCCTGATGTTGCTGATGATGATTGTGATGATGGTGATGATGATGATGGTGGTGTCCCGATGATGTTGATGACCGTGATGATGATGCTGTTGGTGTTGATGATGAGGACGGTATCCCGATTATGATGATGCTGGTGATGATGATGTTGATGTTGATGTTGTTGTTGTTGATGATGATGATGATGATGACGTTGATTGTGAGAGCGGTTGTGATATCGATAGTGAGATCGATAGTGAGACCGAATGTGATATCGATTGTGAGATCGATTGTGAGATCGATAGTCAGATCAATTGTGAGATAGATCGAGTGAGATCGATTGCGAGATTGATCGAGGGAGATCGATCGAGCGAGACCGATACTGAGATCGATAGTGAGATCGATAGTGAGACCGATCGAGTGAGACGTTGGTTCCTCCCCCCCCCGAACCTCCTTATCACCCGAAGGGTGGCCGTATAGGTGTACATATATATATGTACAGAATACAAGGCTTGACGGCCCACTGCGCTTCGCCTCAAATGTTGGCCCTGCGTCCAAGCATTGCCGGGTGGCTGCCGAAGGGCACAGCGGTGCGGAGAGATCGTGACCGCGAGGGGCGTGCGGGCCAGCGTGCGGATGCGAAGACAGTGCATGCCGTGGGTGCGTGGCAGGGCTGCCACGAAGGCGAGGGCGAGGAGCTCGATGGCGGGGTATGCCATTATCCTTAAGTCGGGCCTGTCCCTCTACAGGGGGAAGATTCAAATATAGTCAAATTACTCACTGCGTGGAGCTCCCCATATGTGCATCCTTTTTTAAAGGTGATATTGTATATGGGTCTACAGGAACACACGTAAAACACCAAGGACTCGTGCCCCAGGAGAGGCCCAATATATATATATATATATATAGGAACAAAAGTAAAACAAGTAGGATTGCTTACACAGGAGAAGGACAATATATAGAAACATACGTAGAACATCAAAGAATCGTGCTCCAGGTGAGGCCCAATCGATAGGAGCATACGTAAAACACATGGGATTGGAGCCACTCCTGTTGCCTTCTGAGGCCTCCTGCTCCTGGGGCCTCTCGGGGCCTCCTGTTGCCTTCCGAGGCCTCCTGGCGCTTCCTGTTGCCTCCTGGGGCCTCCTGTGGTTTCCTGAGGCCTTCTGGAGCTTCCTGGGGCCTCCTGGAGCCTCTTGGGACATCCTGTGGCCTCTTGAGTCTTTCTGTGGCCTCCTGATGCCTCCTGGGACCTCATGTGGTCTCCTGGGGCCTCCTGGAGCCTGTTGGAGCCTCCTGTGGCATCCTGAGAAGAATCTGCGCCCACGAGCCTGGCCACCAAAACAAGCAAACCGATCGAGACATCCTCAAAATCTGGCCCACCTGGGGGGTGAAAATGAGCGCCTCGCTCGAGACATCCTCCAAATCTGCTCCGAAAGCGAAGGATGTTGAGCCCAGAAACAAGCAAACCGCCTGAGACATCCCCACAAAATGGCCGCGAACGAGCCCGTGCAACCACCCCTGGCGGCTCTCCTTAGGGCCACGAACCTGGCCACCAAAACAGGCAAACCGATCGAGACATCCTCAAAATCTGGAGCGCCTCGCTCGAGACATCCTCCAAACCTGCTCCGAAAGCGAAGGATGTTGAGCCCAGAAACAAGCAAACCGCCTGAGACATCCCCACAAAATAGCCGCGAACGGGCCCGTGCAACCACCCCTGGCGGCTCCCCTTAGGGCCACGAGCCTGGCCACCAAAACAAGCAAACCGATCGAGACATCCTCAAAATCTGGCCCACCTGGGGGGTGAAAATGAGCGCCTCGCTCGAGACATCCTCCAAATCTGCTCCGAAAGCGAAGGATGTTGGCCCAGAAACAAGCAAACCGCCTGAGACATCCCCACAAAATGGCCGCGAACGAGCCCGTGCAACCACCCCTGGCGGCTCCCCTTAGGGGTGCTGAAACCAGCGCCCCGCCTGAGACATCCTCACAATCTGCTCTCCAAGCGAAGGATGTTGAGCCCAGAAACAAGCAAACCGCCTGAGACATCCCCACAAAATGGCCGCGAACGAGCCCGTGCAACCACCCCTGGCGGCTCCCCTTAGGGGTGCTGAAACCAGCGCCCCGCTTGAGACATCCTCCAAATCTGATGTGTGTTGAGTAAGTCTGAGTATGAGTAGGTCTGAGTATGAGTATGCCTGAATATGAGTAAGTCTGTGTATGAGTAAGTCGGTGTATGAGTTAGTCTGGGTATGAGTAGGTCTGTGTATGAGTAAGTCTGGGTATGAGTAAGTCTGAGTATGAGTAAGTCTGAGTATCAGGAGGGGAGGAGGAAAGAGGAGGAGGAAGGAGGAGTAGGAGGCGTCCAAGTAATAACAAGAACCCCATCTTAGGATGTGGGGGAAAAATAGCCTGGGGACTATGTTTGGAATATTATTGGGCATCTTTGGGGTAGTTTTGGGGTATGTTTAATTTCTCGTCCAAAATCCCCCTGTAGGGGGACAGG